TGAGGATGCTTTCAGGTATTGGAATGTGGTTTCCTTTACAGTAGAAGTGTCTGTGGCGATATTCTATTTGTGCACCCCAATAAAACTTATCTGGAGATCAGAGGGAAAAGCCAGCCACTATATTAAACATAGAAGTCAGACAATGATAGTACACACTTTTAATCCTAGCATTCAGGAGGCAGAGATTCATCCAGTTCTCTGTGAGTTCAAAGCCACACTGGGAACAGAGCCAGCCAGCACTAGTTAACCATAGAGGTCTGGAGGTCTGCACAGACAGACAGAAAGTGATAGAGCCGGGCAGAAAGAGGAAGTGGTGTTGCTGGGCAGAGAGAGGAAGTGAGATGGCAGGGCACAGAAAAGATACAGTTGTGAGTATACAGGAAGTAGCTCTCTCTGGAGGCTGGGGAGTTGGTGAGGTGAGGTTGGCTGTGGCTTGTCCTATTCCTCTGGTCTCTCAATTTTCACCCCGATATTTGGCTCCAAGTTTTTTATTAATAAGACTGTTTAGCAATTCGTCTTACAAGTGTCAACCAATTCCCTTACAATCTTTGTTACTATGTGAGATGCTAGGGCCACCAGAGCACTGGGGAAGTACTGTCCTCTGCCAACTGCTGTTATAGTTCATTTGGAAACTTGATAGTGACTTATGAAGAGTTAGTGTGTGTGTGTGTGTGTGTATGTGTATGTGTGTGTGTGTGTGTGTGTGTGTGTGTGTGTGTGTGTATGTGTATTATGCTTTCTAAAAGGTGCTGGTAAAAACTGATTTAAGGAAATTCTTAAAATGCGTAATTTATAATTATTACTATTAAAAATTAAATAGCAGACAAAATTTACTGAGGATTCTTTATGAAATCAAATAATTGAATAAAAAGTTTCATAATCAATAATGTCCAGTTACATAGAGCATCTGGTAAACCTGTAGTTCATTGGACTATATATTTTAATATTTAATACCCAAAGAAATTATAGTTTCTATATTAAAAAACCATAAATTATTGAATATAATATATTATACATGTTGCAATTGGCAGAACTGTTTTTATCCTTTAAGATATTGTCTATTATGAACAACATGGAAGAAATAATTCTTATAATGTCAAATAAACAGTCCCAAATTCTTAAAGCTAATCAGTGAGACTCATCTGGATGCATATGTACTTTAGTGTGTTTTGTGATATTTGGCATTGAGTTCAGGATACATGATTGGCACATAATCTAGCGTTGAACTACATTGTCAGCTCCCTATATGCATTAAATATAGTCATTTTAAGGAAAAATACTGCCTACATGTCCGCTTGGCTTGCTGATATTTTCCTTTAAACTTTTTTGACTAGGGCCAGCAAGATTGCTCATTGGTTAGAGGCACCTGCTTCCAGGCGTGATTAATTGAGTTGTGTTTCTAGAACCCACATGGAAGGAGGACAAAACCTACATCTTCAAGTTGTCCTCTGACCTCTTCATGAACACCTTGACATGCATAGCCCCACCCCAACATGTATACAAAGTAAATAAAATGTAATAAAAAAGTAACTACTGTTATGTATCAGTTGGAAACTAACATAAGGAATACATTTGAATATTATATATGCTAGTTTGTACCAATCCTTCTGTAAAGAAGCCTGTGGAATAGTGCCGTGAATACATACTATGAATAATACTGGAAAACCCACAGGAGAAAGTGATGTCGTTGAGTAATTTTTTCAATTTAAATACTTGTCTATTAAAGTTTTCTTCACTAAGAATAAGTCTGTGAAAAAATTGTGGATATAAATGTAGTTTTGCCTCTATACCTTCATAATGTTGTAACTTTAAACATATACTTAAGGCTTTACTGAATAATTTGGGATTACTGAACCTCATATCTAAAAATAAAAAAGCCAACCCTCCACAAAGAATTACAGGTGGATGAGTAACGTGGGGGGTGAGTGGGAGATGTGTCCTCTCCAGGTTGGAGAGCACCAATTGCTTGTCAGCTACCAAACGGTAAGACCTGAAAATGTACATATAGGTAACACTATATGGACTCAACAGTTTATATTTAGGAACACATATGTGTTTAGAAATACATGTGTGTGTTCAATAACAAGTGATCAAAAAAGACATCATGAATTTGAAGAAGAGTGGGGGAGGTACATACGGGAGGGTAAGGAGGAAGAAATGGTGTAATTACATTAAAATCTCAAAAACTAAACAAAAAAATTCAGAATGAAATCTGGGGGCCTGCATTAGGAAGGCCAAGAAAAGCCAAGTTTGGAAGATGGATATGATCAGAGTACAAGATATCCTCAAATGAAAATGGCTTTATGAGCCACACAGCTGTACAATGAATATATATGCTTAGAAAAGAAAAAAGGTTAAATAATAAATAATGCTTATTATGATTTCACCATCACTATAACTTTGAATTGTGCAGTTTGAACTGAAGACTCTGAAAGCTATCTAAACATGTCAATAAATGAGAGTTGATGGTTAAAAAAATCCAGATATTCTACCTGATTTAAATAACATTAAAATAATTTTATAAGTGATGATTGATAAGCAAGTATGGTAAGATTTCAAAATTAATAAATGTTTAAAAACATATTCAATTCACACCATCTGAAAACAAAAATACAGAAGTCAGCAAAAAGTGTTCATCACATGATCAGAATGCATCACATTTCAGCACCTTAAGATCAGATGGTTGGGCTGTTGTCCTGTGTGCTTCTGCTTGCTCACCTGTCTGGAAGTCAGCGACTAACTGCTTTGTAGCCCTACTGCCTACTAGAATACACTAGAATGTACCTAAAGATAGAGCCAGTGTAGAATAAGTACTGCCCTAGTTAGGGAGAAAGAAGAGGTTTCTAGAGCTTTTTGCTTCTAAGAAACACACAGGCTATTTTCCTAAACTCATGTTAGCAGTGAAGACAATGCAGATAAAGTTATTATACCCATGATTAATGGCCAGTCCCATCAACACAACTTAAGAAGCTAAAACAAAAATATTAAGTCAACTAAGAAAATATGTACTAAAATGATAACAGACCCAATGTGTAGCAGAGAGTCAAGAATCTTTTCACAAAATGTAAAAATAAATCTTACCTTAAATGATTACTAAAATTTCAACTCAAGGGGGGAAAATAGCTTCTACTAGAAAATAAAAAAAAGTAATGGCCAATCCAAGTTATATGACCTAAAGTCCTGTACATTAAACAATCTTCTGCTCTGTAGGACTAAAGTGTTTAGGATACTAGAGATCTGGTGCCTAAGGAGTGATACAGTAATTGTGCTGGTTGTTGTTTTCAACTTGCTCAGGCCTAGGAAGGAGTCTCATTTGAGAAAACACCCCCATCAGATTGCTTGTAGGCAAGTCTATAGGGCATTTTCTTGATTAGCCAATGATGTGGAGGGCTCAGTCGCTGAGGACAGGGTCTTGGGTTGAATAAGTAAGCAGGCTAAGCAAGGCTTTGGGGAGCATGGTAGAAAGTAGCATTCCTCCATGGCCTCTGTCCCTGTGCTGAGTTCTTGCCCTGACTTTCCTTGATGAAGGACTGTAAGCTGAACTAAACCCTTTTCCCCTCAAGTTGCTTTTGGTCACAATGTTTATCACAGCAACATAAACCTGACTTAGACAGTGCTGTAAGCTGGTGTGATATGGCATGAACTCTGTATTGGAAACTGGGCATTTTGGCCTCCTCTCCAATGTCAATTGTTTGACCCAACAGAAGTCAGCTTACTTCTCATATAGTGTAATAGCCAGGATGAATGGAAAAATGTTGCAATTTTTTTTTCCTGTTTCAGTTACAATCCTGTGCTGGCTAGTGTTTTGTCAATTTGACACTAGTTAAGAATTATTTGGGAAGAGGAAGTCATAATTGAGAAGGTGCCCCCACCAGACTGGCCTGTGGGAGAAAGTGTATGGGGTCACTTTCTTGATTGATGACTGATGTGGGAGAGTCCTGCTCATTGTGGATGGTGCTGGCCCTGGGCAGGTAGTCCTAAATTGTATAAGAAAGTAGCCTGAGCCAGCAACACTGGGAGTCAACAGTAAGCAGTACCTGCCTCCAGGTTCCTGGCTTACTTTCTTGGATGATAGACTACAAGTTGTAAGATGAAATAAATAATTTCCTCCCCAAGTTGCTTTTGATCATGGTGTTTCATCACAGCAATAGAAACCCTAAAAGAAAAGACAGAACCATTCTAGCAGAAGCATACCCAACATAAGAATGGAGCCAATTCTCCAAGGGATATTTAACATCCCTTAGTCACCTGTCAGTTTATTCAATAGGAATGACACATCTATTCTCCTAATCCAAACTCATCACTCCTCTTTCTTGCAAAGCCCCGACAAGATTGATCTTCTCCAAGATTCCTTGCTAAACATATCTCACTATTATCAGATCACTATAAGTCCCACAATACTTTGACTAGCTAGGTCTTTACTTTACTTTTTAAAGTAAAAATTAGATATGTACTTTTCAGTCTATAACTTCATTTATATTTGTGTACCTATCTGGTAGTCACTGTATAAAATATAATCAATATAGGAACAATACTAATCAATCCACACCTCATAAAATAATGTGATGGGTCAACAAGAAAAAACTGTACACTTGTCTAAAAACATTTAATGGCAATTTTTGAAAATACATACAGTCTCAATTTACTAATATCTACTATAAGATTTGAACTGTTTCCTCACAAAAGCACCCTCCACTGGGTTCCAAAACAACCCAAACTGCAGACCTTTCAGAAAAAAAAAAAGAAAGTAAAATAAAAACCAGCAGCAACTATATCAAAATTAACAGGTAAGTAGACCCATCCTCAATCTGTTAAAATGAGATTGTGGGAAAATGTAGTTCCAAAGTCTTATTTCTGTTGAGGCAAGAAGTCATTTTTGTATCAGAGTTAAAATATCCATTTACAATGCATGTTCAGATTTTGAGTTGTTACAAGCATACTTAGTTAAAGGAAGAATTATTTCAAGATCTGTTGAAAGAAATGGTTTTAATTTCTTGCAGGTAAGCCAACCATACCAACTAGAAACTGAAGCAAGACAAAAGCAGACTTTGCTGTGCCTGGTGATATAGAAAGGAGGTGGCATTACTTTATAAGATACAAATTCATGAAAGAGAAAAACCAAACTCTTATCTTACAAAAGCTCAAAAATTAGAGAAGTGTCTTGAGAAGCTGAGAAGATCTGACATGTCAAATCAATCTGCCTCTTTAGAGAAACTGACTTGGAAAAGGAATGATGTCCACTTTGTCTTTTTTCCTGCTACAAAAATACCTGTAGTTATGGTGAATGAACATCAAGACAGACTTTGGGATGTTGCCAATTAACCAGCCAAGGCTGGGATCAGTGACCTACTTTAATAAGAACTAAAAACTTCAGGACTCTTAAATGTGGATGAAATGGCTTCATGTTCATTACTCAGGAGTGGTCTAAAGGGACAAGAAGTCCTGGGATCATCCAGCTGCTTGGAAGAATGAGTCATCAGTAACACAGATGGAAAAAAAACCCCAAAAACAAAACACTACCTCTGGCAGACAATCCCTGACAGTCCTCTGATCGATATTAAATACCACCATGTAACAGGTCACCGTGTTCAATTGTCTGGGGTAACATCTAGCCATTCACTTACCCAGCAGACATCTGGAGACCTGTACAAGGTCATCATTAAGGCTTTCCAGAGAGCATTTTTGTGCCATAAAGAACATTTCTCTAAAGATTTCAAACTCAAAACTACCTCTGACTTGCTCCAACTTGTTTGAAATCATCAGTGACCTAAATACTGAGGCAAACTCCAAACTACATTTTGAAGAATATCTGACTTGATGAGAGGATGTCCATGGGAGCTCTTCATCTATTCTAGAATACTGGGGTCTGGGCTTTAAAATTTTCATAAAATTGGACAAAAAAAAAAAAAGAAAAGAAAAGAAAGCTTACCATTTATGTGGTCCTGTATGTATGGAGACCTAATTAGCACTATGGAATGTCTGCTTTCCAGAATGTCTTCAGAATTGAACTTGATTGATTCCTATCACAAATATGACTAACATGAAAGAAATTTGCCCAATAGAACTTGAGAGAGTGGTCAAATGCTGCTGCGATTAGTTGCATTAACATCATATCAGGTGCTGGTTAAAACAGAGACTCCAAGCTCTCATCTCAAACTACCTACATTGAAAATTCCAAGAATAGAGCCCAACAGTTGGTATTTTTAATGAGGACTCTATCTAGCTTTTATGAGGACTCAAATTGGAAGCCCCAGACTAAGGGACTAAGAAAGAATCCACATAGTCCTGTGGTGCTGGAGGCACTTCTGACTTTGTGATGCATTTAGCCTGGCAGATACTTGGTACAAGGTCACCACTTGAAGGATCAACTTCATTAACACGTGTGCTTCAATGTCAAAACATCAGCTTTTATTTTGATGACTGCGTCAGTCTTTGCCATGGAGTTATTAGGAAGGATACGGCTAAGATACTCTTCACATTAACTTTATCTCCTTTCAAGAAAGAGCCCAATGTTTTTCTTATTGTAAAATCTGGTGTTCATCATTTCTTCACTTTCCTTTAAGCTGTCAGGAAAATCAAAACCAAACTGGTACCTAAATGCAGCAATTCCTTTAATCCTCACAGTAAGCATATTTCTTTCTACCATTCTTTCCACTTTTTGTAAATTAAAAGAGAAAATAAATTATCAAAGTTCTCTCAGGAAAAAGGAAGATAGGAAAACATCTCTAAAAATCATAAGAGTTTTATAATGTCCAGGTGCCTGTATTTAGACAGTAGTGCATACTCGTCTGGTGATGAGGTTGTGTTCCTACATACACTTGTCCAGACAGAAGTGTCCCAAGGCTTCTATGAGACATAGTAAAGCCCCAAGAACATCAGAGACTTTAATTCAAGACTAAAATATCTAGAACATTGATTAAATTCCTCATATAGAGAGATGAGGGTGATGAAAATCAACCATGGGCCAGCAAGACACCTATAGTCCACTGCCAATCTGAGAAATGACACAGATGTCTACACTGCAGGTCAACGTATCTAGAAGCTCCAGCTGTGGCTGGAGCAGCCATGCTGGAAGCCGACTCGGAGGTGAAAAAGCTCTTGCACACCCTTTCTGTTAACTGCTCACATCGTCCTAAATTCTGCCATCTAGTTTGTAACTAAGCAGATCAGCCAGTGGAAGACTTATTTCCTCTTCCTCTCGGTGTAAATAACTGATTGATTGGTATGCTGCTCAGTTTTTTGCCAATCTCACAACTACAGTCATCTGGGATTGTGTTCATTAGATAGTGTGCAGGCAGGTCTGTGAAGGCATTTTCTTGATTAATGGTTGATGTGGAAGGGCCCAGGCCACTACTGGATATGCCACACCTGGGACGTGTGATCCTGAGTGGTTTAAGAAAACAAGCTGCCCAAGCCAGTAAGTTTTGTTCCTCTATGGTCTCGGCTTCAGTTCCTGCCCTAAAGTTCCTGCCCTGATTTCCCCTCATGATTGGCTCTAAGAAGTAAGATGAAAGAAACTCTTTCTTCCATGGTAGCTTTTGGTTATGGAGTTTATCACAGCACCCAAGGCTAACTAGGACAGTTACCTGTTTTGATTCATGTATAATAAGGGAGCTATAGAATCCTGTAGGGCTAAGATCAAGTGTATGAATCCTGTAGGGTCAAGTGGCAATTACTGAGTAAAACAGAGTTCACATCTAAAAATCTGAGGATTCCTTCATTCTCTGAATGCATTTAACTCAAAAATGGTATTACTAGAGCTCTTAGAACATCCCTTGAGCCGGGCGGTGGTGGCGCACGCCTTTAATCCCAGCACTCGGGAGGCAGAGGCAGGCGGATCTCTGTGAGTTCGAGGCCAGCCTGGTCTACTAAGTGAGTTCCAGGAGAGGCACAAAGCTACACAGAGAAACCCTGTCTCGAAAAACCAAAAAAAAAAAAAAAAAAAAAAAAAAAAGAACATCCCTTGACTCTGACTGTGGCGAACTGGTATCTTTGGCAGTGCAGGAAAACCTGAATGCAAAAAGTGTTTGAAATTTAGATAGACAGTGTTTAGGTAATATCTCAGAGAAAATTTGGGGATTAAAAAGTTTGGTTAAAATACTAACTTTTATCAAATAGAACCCATTAGGCCTTTTAGGAGTAATGACATATAAATATAATATTTAAATCTATTTTGTCAGGGATAAAGTACAAGGTTTTAAAAAGCATTTATTTTTATAATTTGTTCATGGCACATGTGTGCTAGGGCCTGTAGAGGCTGAGTGAGGGGATCAGATCCCCAGAGTCAGAGTTAGAAGTGGTTGTCTCTCAATTTAGGTGCTGGGAACCACACTTGAATCCCTTAGAAGAACAACATGATCTGTTCACTGCTGAGTCATCTCTCCAGTTCCAAAGTGTAGATCTTTAACTCAAAATTTAAAATAGGAAAAGTATCTAACAAATTAAAGTCATTAATTTATAATCAAACTAATCAAAATTATGAGTTGTATATTTAGAACTTGAGGTTATTTGCTATGAACTGAAATCGTGTTTTATGTTTAGCCCAGAAACATTAACAGCAGGAATTCAAGAATCAATCTGCACCATGCATTACTACTCAGTTTTGCCACTGTTAAAATCAACAGGTTCATTCTGAATTGATTAAGTACAGATGGACATGAGAGTCTGGATGGTCAGAGTAAAAAGAAAGAACTGTATTCTGTTTTAATGAGTGCACAAATCATCAAATTGGACTGAGGGGGAAGGAGAGGGGGATTCAGTAAAGCTCAAGCATCTCACTTGCAGACAGAATTCTTTCCATTTACCCTTACTTTTAAAAGTCATTTAAATACAAGAAGACTAGAACTAGAAATTTCATAGAAAATATTACCTCTCACAAAGAGGTATGTGTGTTCATACCATGCTTTTTGAGTCCCCGAGATTAGGTAGAAAGCAATGCCAACTTGAAGATAATACTTTTTATTGGCAAATTGAACGATGACAGATACATTTATAGAATTTTAAAAATGTACTTTCTGGAAGCTGAAGGGAAATTTTTCTTATTCCCTGAAAGCATATCTGTCACTACTGAGTTAGTAAAATTAAGGTGTTACCAAAAGCTTGCCTTGGAAATTCACTGAACTAGATTAGCGTTGGTGTCATTTTATATAAGACTGAAGCAAACTAATGTATCCTCCATTAATGCTACAACTGTGCAGACAGCTCACCACTGTGGCGATTAAATTTACAGGGACCCTGTATCTGTTACTAGCAGCTCCCTCATGGTTTGCAAGTGAACTCACCTCCTCTCTCTGTATTTCTCCAAGCCATTTTGAAAACAAAACAAAACTAAAATAGAAATTTCATCAATATTTTGTTCACTAAACTCAGAGAAATGTTTTAAATTTTGAATGCATGAATAATCACAAAAAGAATTGGTCAACTGATACCAACAGATAAGGGTGGAGTGAATCCAAATATGCAAAACTACAGATGTCAGTAGATTCTGCTAACAAAAAGATTGTAATCATTTGAAGAGATTTGTTTCACTCACAGCAAAGGTAAAAAGGCATTACTACCATCAGACCCTGATTCGGAGTAGGTATGTCATTGTCAGATCTGATGTATAGAGGGAAAATGAGCTAAAATCACTAGTGCTAATTAATTTTTATCAACATAAGAATATGACACATATTTTCATTAGTAAATCACTTGTTTAAAAATTTAAGAGAGGGTTTGGAAATCAAAACTTTGGACTTTGGCAAATGCACAGAAAACTGTTGTGGTTTGAAAACATCCCTCCAAATCATGTATTAGAAATACGATCCCTATGTATGTTAACAGTGTTTGGAAAAGGGTCTTTGGGAGGTGATAGGAATAAATGAAGTCATGAAGACACGACTCCATGGTGGTATTAGTAGCTTTTTAAGAAGAAAAGGACCATGGTAATGTGATTGCTGTGTCTTGTCAAAAGATGCCTATCCATCATGGTGAGACACAGCAAGGAGGCCTCACCATAAGCCAACACCATGCTAATGGACTCTTGATTCCTAAATATGACAAAGAATTCACATTGCATAAATTGCTTTGTCTCCAGTATTTACAAGATAAAACAGACTGCAACAGTATTTTATCTCTGGTGCTCTTTTTCTAATTATTAAGACTTTCTTTTTTATATTTCTTTTGGAAACATAATATACAAAGTTACCCAAACCATGTTTATTAACATACACAAGAAAAGACAATGATCAATATAAAATTTTCAAGTCATTCTAAAAGTACAGAATCCTAACTATGAATGTAGAAATACATTCACTTAGATATTTCTAGTTTTAAAATATTTTAGTGATAAATCAGATGGTATACAATTAATCTGATATGTTTAGCAAATATATTGAATATAAGGTTGAATAAATGTGCAAATATAAGTATTTATAGCATCTTAATATCTAGACAATTCAGAAGCTACAGAAAACTGAACTTCAGGTGACACTGCTTATCCTACATTAAATATAAATTAAGTTCACATGACCAGCATGACCTATATCTAAAGCATACATTTAAGTTATAAATGTACATTAATTTTCATAACAGAAAATTTTGGCATACCTAGTGTGATACGTGCCTTCTTAAACAAACTGCAACTGCACGCAATACATATAAAGAGCATGTAATGCTCACACTGATGTGCCTACATGTGTCCTGCTGCACCCCTGTACTTCCTCTGGGGGATTAGAAATCTCTTTTAGGAGGCTCACTGTTTGAAGTGAAATTCAATAGAAAACAAAACACTTGACTTTTGATTCTCAAAGTAACAAAACCTATTCCCATTATTCAAAAGCCTATTTAAAAAAGCCCTACTTTCTGAACACATTAATTTACTTTAGATAAATAGTCTGGTTCTTCAGGAAAGAGCAGAGATTCAGTTTTATAGACACAGTGAACACAAGGGTAAGTAATGACATACACCCACTGTTTTCATGAGAGTGTGGCGATCTTGAACTTGTGCTTCCTAAAGGGTCTAATAGCAAAGTCTGTTCTGCATCAATGTTCATCTGAATTCAGCAAGAAGTCAGAATGAAGGCAAAACACATTTCAGGCCATAAAAGAAAAGTGTTAAGGATAGAAAAACCCCTGGAGAGCAAAGAAACAGTCATGTGCTCCCCTTAGGAAGGCCAGGAGAGACTACTCCCTATCACTAATTTTGACCATATACTCCCAGTGTCTTTTATAATCTATGTACCATCTCTATGTATATATATGTAGGGTTTATTCTGTCCTTATGTTTGTTTTATAGACCTAGAAGTTTATTTTCTTCTAAAAATAGATTCAAGATTGCTAAAGTACTGTGATAAACACCTATGACGTCACTTTGTCTGCTCTGCACTCAATACTAATCACTGATACTTCCTCAAACAGATTCAAGCCATAAACAATTTTCAAGTTCCACCTTTAACTCAACTTTAACTAAAGCATGTAACAGGTGTGAAAGAACAAACCCCAGAAACTGTGAGAGCAATTGCAGCCATTCAGAAGGAAGACAGTAGAGTCAATTTATGCTTAATTACAAAAGGTCTGCCATTGAACAGACATCCTACAGTATGGTGGTGTCTCTCTACAGCAAGGTTAGGTAAGATGGTTAA